GTGCTAGCAAATTTATGTTCAAAAGAAATAGAAAGCGAGCAGAGATCACCCATATTCCTCATAGTAGGAATAACACCATTTTAAAAACCCTAAAGTGAGTATGGAACATTAATCATGGTCAATCATAATTGGTAATAATATCAAGGCATAATATAAAGATGATTTATAGTTTTGAGGACAAATGAGATTAAAATAGTTGGAATAGCAATCAATTCATTAAAGGAAAGGTTTTTATCACATGAAAGATCCCCACTTCCATGGTTTCTAGAATATCGTAGCTCTAGGTGTTCCATAAAACAATTTGAGAAATTGGGAATAAATACTTTACAAGAGGAATAATAAGAAGGTATGCCTTCAAACTCAATTTTTTGCCATTAATCACAAGATGTGGAACCAATTCAAATTTGTTTTGCTAGAGAGGAAATCACATCCAATTCAACTAGTATCGCAGCTAGTAGCCACTGATAGTGTTGCAATAGTAACATCCACCTAAAGCAATTTACCAAATATTTAATGAAGAGGGAATAAAATGGATTGATTAAAGTAATGAACTTGAAGATGTGGGAAAATCACCCAAACTACAATAATATGCAATTCTAAGGAACAGTCAAAATGACATGACTTCTTCAAATATGCAAAGAGAACCCATCCACATAGTATGTTCATCAAGAGAAGAGTCATGAGTAATCACATTCTTGATATTACTTCATAAGGACATAATAAGAATCAGTAAACCCAAAGTATAATCCCCAATCAAATTCAAATTGGCTAAGAATCTATGAATAATTTCTAATTAGGATGGCCCTAAGAAAACTTACCAACAAGGGAAAGAGAACAAGATAAAGTCAAGTCAAAGATCTCCTTATCAATTAATATGTAAATTGATTTATCTTGAAAGGAGGAAATTGCTTTATGAACTTGCTAAAAAAAGAGTGGGAAAATAACAGGAGTAGGACAGAGGGCCAAAACCTTTATCCCCCTAATAGCCTCAACAAAAGAGTGAGGAGTGCATGACAAGAGAGAAACATTAAGCCTTAGGAACATGAACATAGGAGAAGCTTTACAATGTAGTTGTACCAAAGGAGAAGTTGTGATCTAGATGGAACAGGCATAAATGCAAGATCTAGAGCAAGAGGCAGAGAGGTGACACAACATTGAAAGTGAGAGTTAGAATAGAAATTGGTAAGAGTCAAGTCAAACCAAAAAAGCCAGGGCGCCACCATAGGCACTGATATAGAAAACGGCATCACACCCTAAAGTGCACGCCTAGCCTAAAATAAGGCATCTTGCAAACCAAACAAAAGGAAGTCGAACACAAAAGAGTTTCACATCAAGACAAAGTAGCAAACACACACTAACATGACAAGGATGCATGATTGGAGCACATCGAGTGAATAAATTATCAGAGCACGACGAGCATAAGAAGCGCAAAAGTGTGTACAAGCTGCAAGCGTGAAAACTGAGCATGATGACAACTAATACATGTGGGTGCAAGAACAGCCAATGTGCTCTGGCACAACAAGCAAACCAAACTCGCACAAGAGCAAAGCACGAACAAAGTTGCAGTTGTGTGCAGGTAAGTGAGATTAGGGTATACTAAGATTTGATCAATCAATTTTACATATATTGAGGATTAGATTAGTGCATAAATTATCCCACTACTATTGTTGCTACTTAGTAATGCATGGCAAAGAATTGTTTTATTATTGCTACTTAACAAATAAAAAAATAATAATTATGCATTCTAAATTTAGTTCAAATATCAAGCACTAACTTAAATCCCTCCAAAGGTCAAATGAGCATCTAATAAATCCCTAAATTTTAACAAATTTATGTTTTATTAACACTACAGGGGAAAGAATATATAATTACTTAAATTACATGAAAAAAAAGTGTTTTAAAATATTCTCGGGCTCTCCCTAGGGCGGGTGAGATAAGATTTTCGCAAGGCAATAAGGGTGGGCATTTATATATATATTAAAAAGATGTCAGATGAGTGGAGAATGAGTGTGTTAATTCCTATTTTTAAGAATAAAAGTGATGCACAAGATTGTGCGAAATTATTAGAGGATATTTAAGTTAATGTGTCATACTTTAAATTATGGGAGTGAGTTATGGAGCATAGGTTGCGACGTGATAATAATGTTTCTCAAAATCAATTTGGATTCATGTCGGGTAGGTCGACTATGAAAGCTATACATCTATTAAGAGGTTTGATGGAGATATATAGAGAAAATAAGGAGGATCTATAGATGATATTATTGATTTAGAAAAAGCATATGATAAAGTTCCAAGAGAAGTGCTATGAAGAGTTCATGAAAAAAGGAGTTAATAACGCTTATATTCAAATCATTAAAGATATGTATGCATGAGCTATTACTTGTGTTCAAACACAAGTGGTTTGACCAAGTATTTCCCTATTTCAGTTGGGTTACATCAAGGATTAGCCTTAAGCCCATATCTTTTTTACTTTAGTCATGGATGTTCTCACTAGACATTTGCAAGAGGATGTACCTTGGTGTATGCTTTTTGTTGATGATATTCTTCTTGTTGATAAGACTAGAGAGGGAGTTGAAGGTAAACTTGAATTGTGGAGGTCAACCTTAGAGTCTAAAGGTTTTCGTTTGAGTAGATCTAAAACGGAATATATGGAGTGTAATTTTTAGTTAATAGACCTAGTGAGGGGGATTGTGACTTTGGGCATCAATCATTAAAGAGTACACGTTTTAGATATCTGGATCATTGTTCAATAGTGATGGTGAAATAGATGGGGATATTTATCAACAGAATTCAAGTTGGATGTTTGAAGTGAAGGAATGCATCGGGCTTGTTGTGTGATAGAAAAGTACCCCTCAAACTTAAGGGAAAATTCTATAAGATGGTAGTGAGGCCTGCAATGCTTTATGGTGCCGAATGTTGGCCATTAAAAGAGAAGCATAATACCAAATTAAGTGTGACAGAGATGAGGATGCTCAGGTGGATGAGTGGCTTTACCCTTAGAGATAGGATACGAAATGAGCATATACGTGAAAAGGTTGGAGTAGCTCCAGTAGAAGATAAGATTAGAGAGAGTCGCCTTAGATGGTTTGGTCAAATAAAACGACGGCCTTCCGATGACCCAGTTAGAAGAGTAGAGGTATTAGATTTGACTTATGTTAAGAAAGGTAGAGGCAGACTTAAAAAGACTTGGTTAGAAAATATTAGGCATGAACTTTCTTTATTAGATTTAAACGAGAATTTGACTTTTAATAAGACACAATGGAAAAAGGATTCATGTAGCCGACCCCACGTAGTGGGATAAAGGCTTGATGTTGTTGTTGTAATAGGGGTGGACATTCAGCTTCTAGGGCTCTAGGGCACATACCCTGCAAACCAAGGCCTCGCCCTGAGTTCCTAAGGTGGGCCCTATACGCAAGTAAATGATACAATTTATCAATATTACTATTAAGATGAACTTAAATTGAATAATTAGAAAACCTTAAGAAGTAATCTACTCAAATTACCATTTTTATAATAAACTATTAAGCAAATATTTCAAAGCAGACTTTAAATCTAGTAAACATTAAAAAAATAACTCGAATTCAACTTCTCTTCACTCACCCATTGCTCCGTCACTGACCAACCTCCCCCCACTCCTTTTCTCTTGTTGAGTCACTTCCTACAAAGTCAACCAATCTTCCATAGTAAATTAAACTTGAACTCTCACAAACTCACTTGATCACTGCTTCTCCCACATTAACTTGCTCACTCAGTTAATCCCCTCATCAACTCGTTGGGATCACTTCATCACTGCTAACTCACCACCTTGTGCTTTTGATCTTGCTTGCAAGCAAAATAAGCACAATCGTCATAGCCTCTATGTTGCCTCTTTAATTGAAGAAGTAGAGAACTCAACTCTTTGCCAAAGCCTCGTAGTGGATCTACAAAAGCCTATTATAAGAGTTAAATCCATAAGTTATTTAATAATTTTTCAGATCATTGTAGCTCATATGACCCAAGTCCTTGGCCTTTCAAAATATTCGATAGATGTTAGTTTATTTTTCATACTTGAATTTTTGCATAATATGCTTTTATTTAGCTCTCTCAATCAGACCTTTGGCTGTCAATTTCCAAAACAAATATCTTATGTTTGTATTAATAGATTTTATAGTTAGAGAAAGAATCAAATGATTATCGACTATGAATTTGGGAATTTCTTTCAATTTTTTGCTTGAATTTAATTGTATCATATTCCTTAAATTCACAGCACGTTCTTGAATGAACCAAACAGTTCTTACTTTCATTCGCTTTCATCTGAGCTCAAAAAACTTCCCCTTTCACGCATCACATATCAAAAAACACCACCATACGCCTCTCATTCCTTACCGATCAAATATCTTGATCAGACCCCTATTACCATTTTCCAACAAAGCCCTAGGGTCCTAGTTGGGTACCCAATGGGTACCCATGCTTTAGTAGGACGGGCGATGCCCACCCATGCCCACCGACGATGACTTTCGGGATGTCGTACCCACCTATACCCACCAACTTCCACGCTTTTTGAATGCAGTCTGCCATGGACTGATGGCCTTGAGGCTTGTTGCCCTTTGCTTTGATTGCAAACTTTAAAGCCGCATATCAGAATTTCCCGTAGTTGCAGCGTGTTTTTTTTTTCCCCCCTAAGTTTGGAAGTAGTTGCAGCGTGGTTAAGTGTTGCACATTACGTAGTGAGGATTGCAATAATATAAAATATACAGCGATTAGCAATGTAAATCAATTTATCCATCGATGTTGAGTACCCACCCACAAGGCCATGGGCGTACCCATACCCAATGGTGGGTACATGGGTATGGGTACCCAATGCTTGGCTTTGTTGTCCAATTCCAACATTACTCATCATGTTAGCTGAATCATGATTATAGAAACCCATTTTGAGCTCACATTACTAACTGCCAAGAGCAAAAGGAACTGCGATCTGATGCTCAAGTGTCTATAAAAATAACTTATTCGAATGTACCTACCTAGACATGTCTTGATGGCCTTCTGCAGCTCGGCGTACTTCTTTCCGGAGCACTCCTTGAGCATGGACTCCAAGGAGCGGGAAACGAAACCCCCAGCCGCGGCGCCCGCCATCGCTGAGATCTTCGCACGATCTGGCGCCTCCTTTTCTCCCACCGCCGCTGCGCGTCCAGTCTATTCAAGACCTGTACAACGGCATGCAAAGATCAGACGAATTGAGCGGACCGTAAGGCGGATCCGGAGGGGGGAGGGTTGGACGGATGGAATTGGACGTACCAAGATGCTGTTCACCGGCGTGGAGGTTATGGATCTTTCAGGAATCAGAAGTTCAGTGAAGAGAAAAGATCTAAGCAAGCCTTCGTTCTTCTCTTTTCTCCCACACTTGTTTTTTTCTTTTCCCCTTCTCAGCAAGAATATAGCTTGGGACTCTAAAAACTGGCCTTTGAAAACTCTAAAAACTCACCGAATTTTTGCCGGGTTTCTAAGGGTAGACAGGGCTATATGGAATTAGGGAGGCCGCTGTAAGGCCTTCTTGAGTTTCCGCGAATGGCGTCGGGAGGACCTGGTTTTGCCCTTAGACCCATGAATCCGAGTAACTTTTATTTGGTCCATTCACCTGATCCAGTTTTACATTCGGACGTCGGTAAAATAGTGACACGTATTCTCAGTATTTAACGTGCGGCCCGACAACCCCGACCCGGAACATAGATGGGATTGTTATGTTCGCGTGTTGCTGGGTATTGCTCGGTATTTGCTCTGTATTGGTCGGTTTTGCTCGGCAAATAACAAGAAATACCATTTTGTAAAGACCAATACCGAGCAATACCGAGTAATACCTAGCAATACCGAGTTTTTTGGTATTTCTCGGTATTGCTCGGTATTGATCTTCACAGAGCGATATTTTTCATTATTGTCAAGCAATACCTAGCAATACCGAGCAATACCTAGAGCAATACTGAGCAATACACCAACATAGCAATCCCGGGTCAAGTTGTCAGGCCGCGCGGTATTGAGTAAGACCACGTGCGACATGTTATTGGCGTCCAAACGTAGAGCTACGTCAGGTCACCTGACCTAATAATTGTTCGTACATAGTAACTAGAATGAGTCACTTCACCCTTTATTTGATACTGTGGCTCAGAATTATTCATATCGCTCAGTATTACTTGACACCGTGGTTAGATGTTATTAACATAGCGCATTTTAATTAATCTTCGAAATAACGCTTGACATCCGCATAAAATAATTAATCCATAAATCCTCCATTTGTGAGTATTTTCAGCAAAGAATTTAGATTTTTTTATTTTTTCTACTTACGTTTTTTGTCAACCTTTTTAAAGAAATTTTTTGGAAGAAATTTCTATTATTTTTTAAATGGATATTTCTAAAATAAATTCTAAAAGAAATTTAACCTTTTCTGCCTCATAAAATCCTAAATTAGCCAAATATATTCGTATTTATTTATTAGAGAAATATGCCAAAAAAATATGGAACAAAATGCTCATTGTTTAGTCCACTACTTATTTGAAGTCTAAAGTGAATAAAGAAGAAAACAAAATAAAATCTACCATGAATGTGGTGAGCACTTAGCCACGCAAATAATTTGATTAGGGACTTTCTGTTAACTGCAAAGAGCTGAGAGGCAAGCAAGAGAAAAGGACATAGCAGAGTTTCTGAAATGGAAAACATCTTATTATCTTTTCTATGTAAAAGTGTACAGAGGAAGCTAGTATATATAGATACAACCAAAGGTTTGTTATAGGCTTTAACCTTTACAGCTGGCAAGAATTGTACTTTCTTGCTTATGGTTTAACATGCCTCTGCAAATTGATGACAGGGATTTGTCTAACAGTTTGGGAGTGAGGTAGTTAAATCTAGAGATGGTTAAAGCTTTTGTAAATAGGTCAGCTAATTGGTCCTTTGAGGCTATGTCATGAAGTTGAATAGTTTTACTCTTTATACATTCTCTAATATAGTGACAATTGATCTCTATATGCTTTGTCCGAGCATGATAGACTGGATTATTTGCTAGCGTAATGGCGAAGGTAGCAAAGTTTCTGAAATGGAAAACATCTTATTATCTTTTCTATGTAAAAGTGTACAGAGGAAGCTAGTATATATAGATATAACCAAAGGTCCGTTATAGGCTTTAACCTTTACGGCTGACAAGAATTGTACTTTCTTGCTTATGGTTTAATACTTTCACTTTCACATCAATACAATTCTTCCATCCTTTGAATGCCTTCTATTTTTCTTTGGATTACCTGTTGAGACAACTTCCCCCACTACCAGTTGCTCCACGCTCAGCATACAGGAAATGTCCCCGTGACATTCTGGCATCCGATAGCTTAGTATAACTAACAGGGTTAATACAGTCATTTATATATATGCAACTTTAGCTATATAATCAACTGTATTTCACAGAAGCTAATTAACGAAAATCATGAGATTTACTGTTCACCTTCGTCTTCCTCTCTTCCCTCATCGAGTAGCCTGCTTCTTCATGGTATCAGAGCCGCTTGCCTAACGGCTTATCCTCGTGTGAGATTGACGATGGGAGACTCGTCGGCATCCGCACCGAACACACCACCTCCTGCGGGATTGACGTCCGACGTCACGACCACCTCCATTGATGTAGTTATTCGTCCCACCCTCAAATTTCTTCTTGCAAACATCAAGAACGTGAAGGATCAGAGCTCCTTCACGCAGCCTCTATGTCCAATTGTAAGCCTCTACAAACTCCTCTACCATCCAAATATCCCTCCGATCCTCATCTCCAGCTACCATTCCCTCAACCTGAATTATTTCGTCAGCTGGTTGGATCTCTTCAATATATTACCTCCACTCGCCCAGACATTGCATTTGCCGTCAATAAGCTTTGTCAACATATGCATAATCCCCTGCTCATTCATTTCCAGCTCCTGAAACGGGTATTGCGGTATCTTCACGGGACAATCAATCATACATTCTTTCTCCCCAAAACTGAGTTAACTCTTTCAGCTCATTCCAACTCCGACTGGGCTGGTGATCAACTCGATCGCAAATCGACTACAGGATACTGTCTTCTCCTTGGCACTGCCTTGCTTGCCTGGTCTGTTAAAAAACAAACCACCGTCGCCAGATCGTCTACTGAAGCTGAATACCGGTCCATGGCCGCCGCAGCCACTGATATCATCTGGACTCGCCGTCTCTGTGAAGACTTTCTTCTTCCTCAGAAGCCAACCAAGCTCTTCTGCGACAATGTTTCAGCCATGTCTATTGCTTGCAATCCCATTTTCCATGTCATGACCAAACATATTGAGATCGACCATCATTTTAACCGGGAATGTATTCAACCAAACCACATTGTGGTTCACCATGTCTCCACTGTTGATCAGCTAGTCGATGTCTTCACAAAGCCTCTTTCGTCTACTAGACTGGTCCAGCTTCGCAAGAAGCTTCTGGTCGTCCCTCCCATCAGCTTGAGGGACGGTGTTGAGACAGCTTCCCCCACTACCAGCTGCTCCACGCTCAGCATACAGGAAATGTCCCCACGACATTCTGACATTCGATAGCTTAGTATAACTAACAGGGTTAATACAGTCATTTACATATATGCAACTTTAGCTATATAATCAACTGTATTTCACAGAAGCTAATTAACGAAAATCATGAGATTTACTGTTCACCTTCGTCTTCCTCTGTTCCCTCGTCAAGTAGCCTGCTTCTTCATTATCGCTCTTCATCTTCACAATTGGAAAATCATGACAACAAATTTTATTTCATGTTAAACCTCTCTTTATTTTTTAAATGTATATATATATTTTCATTATATGCACTTAATCATATTTCTTACATATAACACTTTAAGCATAAGATGTATTAGCACTCTTATTTTAGCTACAACCAATACATATCCTCTCGGGAGACCCGTCACATCAAATTTTTTTATATGTACATATCCTCCCACATAAATCAACATCATTATTAAGATCGCCATCAAGAAAATATAGTTCAATTTGACTAATATGATAAAAATTAAACTTTAAAAATATTATGGATAGTGTATTGTGATAGTTTTATGTATATTAAAGATAAACGCTAAGTTGATTCATTATTCCCATTGACATCCTCGATTTAGTCATAAAATACATCTATGAATTTTTAGTTTCAAAATAAATAACAATAAATTCCACTTGATCAATTTGAGAGTAGCATTTTGCGTCATTATCATGACGCAAAATGCCTTCACAACATGAATTTTAAAATATTTCATTCACACTTAACACTATACAACATATAGCTTAAATAAAACATCAAAAGAAAAGTAAAGAAACTTGAAATATGCTGAAATTTCAAGATGAAGGACAACAATTGTTCCCAAATTTTTGCTACTTTGCATTATCATGTATGATGGTAACATTAAAAGTATGCTTCATGAGTTTTTCTTACATGTGCATCAACTTTGCTCATGACACTATCAAATCTTCCCATATGACAAATTGATATCATATACCCTCTTCACATCTAAAAAAATCATATTTTGCTATAAATTAGGGTCAAACCCAACAAGTATCTCCTTACTTAAATTAGGGTCATCTTTGGCTTTTATTTGAGCGAACATCTAAGGGTGCTCTTAGTTATGGCTTTTGATGTAACGCAAAAGAGAAATTTAAATATTATTTTCTTAAATGCATGATAATTCTCAATTAATTAGTCATTTCCCCAGAGCCAATTAATCATTCATTATATTATAAACAAATATTAAGAATGTGCATAGATTTTTTTTTCAAAGATAATTAAATAATAATAGTTTAAATTATAATTATTGCAATAATTTTTTAAATACATCTAACTACAAAATCATAAGTATCTAAACCCTAAACTAAGCATCATGTTTTGTCTCACAAGCATGTCATTGGTAAACTCTAACCATAAGACAACCTCTATTTGGCCAAACCCTCTTTAAATTTGAAATTTTTGAATGATGATAGACCTTTAATCATTTGATATAAGAATTTAGAATTTCATTTTTAAAGTTTACAAAATACCCATGTCCATAGTCAACAATATGGTAGCACAAAAAAAATTATAAAAGAGTGAAACTCTAATGAGTTTAAATTAGGTCTCTTTAATAATCAAGGAGCCAATGCTTTGTATTACACACTTCAATATAACAATTATATGAAGATTTGTGAACTAAAAAGTTAAAGAAAAATATGGGACAAGTTTGTGATCACCTATGAAGGAATCAATGATATTTACGAAATCAAATTAATATTTTGATGCAAGAGTATGAACTTTTCATAATGAAGTCCAATAAAACCATCACCAAAATATTCGAGAGATTCTCAATGAATTACATGTGTTAGATAAGGAGCACTCTGATAAATAACAAGAAAATTATATCTTATACTCTCTACCTAAAGATTAAGGTTTCGTTTGGGACGGCTTTCTTCTTGCTTCTTAAAGCTTTTTAATACAAAATTAAAATTTTTTTACTAAAAAGCTGCTTTCATAAGCAACAAAAAAAACGTCCCCAACGAAGCCTAAGATTCAAAAGCGACCACAAACTCATAAGCCCAATATTTAAATTCCAATCCTATTGATCAATTTTAGAGCTCTTTGGAAGCACACAAACAAAAGGTGATATCCAAAAAAGATGAGGAAGAGGCTCATGCTCTCAATGACTCTATCGAAGAGAAAAATAATGAGATGAGACAGCTTATGTTTTGTGATAATTTATGATACATTTTTAATTGAATGATATATTTATTAAATAACATAAAAATTATTGTAAATTGGGAAAAGGCATTAAGCATGAATTGCAATAACAGGTCATATTTTTTCATCACTGAACCCAATCAATTTGATTTGGGTTCCCAAATTGACAGGTTAATATTCTATGTAGATGCTCCTTCATTCTAAGAGGCACATGATAGCAGATCATACAAAATTTGCTTCATTGGATTACAACTCCTCTGGCATCAAAAAGATGATACTGATTGATGGATTAAAACACAATATTCTAAGGCTTCGTTTGGGACAGCTTTGTTACTGCTTCTTAAAGTAGTTTTCTAGTATAAAAAATTTAATTTTTGTACTAAAAAAATGCTTAAGAAGAAGTAAAAAAGCCATCTCAAACAAAGCCTAAGTATCATTCAATTATGTGATAGATGGTATAATGTCCATTTCTCAACTTCTCATAATCTAATTATGGTAAATGATGAACTTATTAGCAAGGGCAGAATTATATACTGCTACCCTAAAAAAATTAAAACTCTTAGTATAGTAAAGGTTATTTGTGATTTGCCCCTACTGATTTTTCTTTTGCTCGCAACAGATCTTTTTTTCACGCAATTTACCCCTCAAAAAAATCGAAAAGCCTCTTGACCTCCTGCTATTTTCATACTATTATGTCGAACTTTTATAACACTAACAAACAAGTTGTGCAAAATATATACCCGTATATATATTTTTATTTTTTTTATAAGTTTGTCAGTTAACCTCTTGAGAATTAAGACTGATTACATCCCTGCTTATTATGACAGGCCATTGCAACTACTTGATTTAACTTATTCATTTGCTCAACACAATAAAAGTATAACATGAGCACGATCATACCAAACAAGACCTTTCAGAACTTTGAAGAGCCAAGCCATTGCCATGCCAAATTAACTAGAACCAGAATTGCATCAGCAAAACAGTCGTAGTATCATGGACTATCTTGCAAATTACATATTCTCACAGAATACTTGCACTATATATATATAAGCCTGCACTACAATAAAGTGTAAAAGTGTCTTAACAGAAAAGCAAAACAAAATCTTCACAGAATTAGCATTAGAATAACATGGAAAACATGGAGCTGCCAAAAATTCCAATCTATTTTGCCATGCACGCATCCTTCTTATGCCAGACAATACAAAACAAACTTTGAGTTGGTAAATAAAAACTATACATGCCCCAGCTAGCAAATTAGTACAAATTTAGGCTTTGTTTGAGGCGGCTTTCTTAATGCTTTAGAAAGCAGCTTTTTAGTACAAATTTTTTTAGTTTAACAATGTTTTGTACTAAAAAACTGCTTTATGAAGCAGTAAGGAAGTCATCCCAAACGAAGCCTTAGTCTTGCTTTGCAGCTTAATAGAACTGGATGCTCAAACTTAGGCTTCGTTTAGGACAACTTTTTTACTACTTCTTAAAACAACTTTCTAGTACAAAAGTTTTACTTTTTGTACTAAAAATCTGCTTCAAGAAGCAGTAAGAAAGCCGTCCCAAACAAAGGCTTAAAGCTCAAAAGGCTGGAAATCTGTGCGAGTTTCCGAGTGTGTTCAGGTCATCAGAATATGGCTGCTCACCACTGGATGGTTCACTTCCATGTTCATACTCAGCTATGGGTCCGCTGTAGTCTCCACTGTACTCAGGGCTAGTAAGTTCTATCCTTCTGATTCTCCTCATGCTTGGGGCATACAAATCAGAATCGTAGTCTGAGCTAGAGCTGAAAAGCATGCTCTGCCCTGGCCTCATCCCCTCATTCAAGTCCTCTAGTGATGCATTGCCTTCCAATGCACTCACAATCTGCAATTAAACACATTCTTGGTTTTAAATGTTTTTTTGTTATAAGTTCTATGATTGTATGTTGACCAAACATCAACCTTCAAATTGCTTAGCTCAAATTTAAGACCAGCAATGATGGTAAATATGAAGAAATATGGATAAAATTTGAATAAAAATTGAGTATTCGCAGAGCCGAAACGAAATAGTTGGGATTATGTTGATGATGAAGAAAGGGTTTGAAGTGACTTTGCTATTATAGATAGAGCTGTTTTCTAAGTCTTCAGAATTATGAGATTGGTATTGCAAATAAAAGGGTGGCATTGAAAAATAACCAAAAATGGAAAAGTTCGAAGTTTAAAAATGCAGTTTATGATCTCAGGAGTTTTAAGAAAATCCAGATATTTACAGAGATGTTGATAGCATGAAGAGTAGAAGTCCACTACGGGATGAAAAATCAATTACATATGACCAAGCCAAAATCTTTGTAAGTACAAGCGATATAATGTAGCTTCAATCTAGTCAAATGTCGATGTAGTTTAAAAAAATATTATAACTATTTCAACCATACCACAGTCCACAGCGCAAGGGCCTCTTTGGAGCCATGACACATAGCATACAGCGCGGCACACACCATTTTGAACATGATGCAAATTATATAAAAATTATAAAATAATAAGCATGAATATGAAATATCATTAAACTGAAAGATAATCTATCATAATAATGAAAGACAACCATAATCATATATAAGTTCAAGTAAACAACACTCAAATATCTCATAATTCAAAATATTAAAATCAATTTTTTAAATGTCAATGATTTTATAAGAATTTAATATACTCTTATTGGGAATCATGACTGGGCAGGTCGAACCCTGCCAGGGGGCAGCGTCCTCTTAGACTCGGCATATCTGCGACATATCTACACTTTTACTTAAAAATTTTCATGTTTCAAATTCATGTGATTTAATTTGTGTCGATCCTTTGTAGGATAATGAGCTCTAGTGGTATAGGAATTGGGTTAGATGATGGTCCATCAGAGACAAATATTGAAGATAATAAACTTATGTAAGGTTATATGACAAAAATAGGAAAAACGTCATAAGAGGGTAGCAATATTGTATTCAAATGCAATTACTATAATACCACATACAAAGAATCATATTATAAAGTGAAAGCTCATTTGTTGAAGATTAATGGTCATGGAATTAAAGTATGCTCGAAGATAAGCTCATCACAAATGACTGAATTACAAAGGAAAATCAGTGAAACTGAGCAAAGGAGTAAAAAAGAGCTTCCAAAATATATTTTACTTCCAAGCACCCATGCTTTATATCCTTCATCATCTTCTTCAATTAGAAGTGATTACACTACTGTAAACAAAGGGCCTTTCCGAATGGAGAGATATGGACCTAAAAAAAATGTTGTAGATAGTGTTTTGGAGAAAACATTTAATTTACAAACGAGAGAACAACTAGATGAAGAAATAGATATAATATTTTACTCAGTTGGATTTCCTTTTAACCTAGCAAAGAATTCACATTATAAGAATGCATTTACCAATGCATGCAATAATAATCTTGCAGGATATGTGCCACCAAGATATAATGTCATTAGAACGAAGTTGTTGCAAAGAGAGAGGGATAATATTGAGAAGTTGCTCGAGCCTAGAAGAGGAGTTTGGAAGGAAAAATTAGTTACTTTGGTTTGTGATGGGTGGATAGATCATCAAAGAAGACCACTTATCAACTTCATGGTTGTACAGAGAGCTATCATATATTTATTAAAGCTGTAAACAGTGAAGGATAGTACAATAATAAGTTCTTTATTTCTAATTTAATCAAAGAAGTTATCAAGATGGTAGGCCCTTCAAACATCATCCAGGTCATTACTGATAATGTACCTATTTGTAAAGCTGCAGGTCTACTTGTAGAGCAAGCCTATCCTCATATTTTATGGACACCATGTAATGTGTATACGCTTAATCTTGCCTTGAAGAACATTTGTGTAGCTAAGAATACTAAGGCAAACGAAACTCGATTTGCCTCAGTTATAGCGATGTTGAGAAGATTCAAAAAAAATAAAAAAATGCTCTTCAAGCTATGGTGATCAGTGACAAATGGTCATGTTATAGGGAAGATGATGTTGGAAATGCTAGGTATATAAAGGGGAAGCTTTTAGATGATATATAGTGGGATGAGATTGAATACATCTTAAATTTTACAGATCCAATTTATGAAATATTGAGAGTAGCTGGTACGAATATGTCTTATTTACATCTTATTTATGAGATATGGGATTCAATGCTAGCCAAAGTAAAAGAAATTATATATATATATATATATATATACATGAGAGAAAGGCACTTCATGAAGACTCAAGCTATTGGGATGTTATTTATGCTATTCTAAAAGATAGGTGGAGCAAAAGTATTACACTTTTATATTACTTAGCTCGCTCATTAAATATCAGGTAAATTTTAACATTTTTTCATTATTAATTCACAATTTGTTCTTTAGTAATTTCAACAATTTTTATTATTTATTTTTAATGTTATTTGAAGATATTCAACTAAATAATGACTTCAAGAGGATCCTCAAAGAGTTTCTCCATAGAAAAATTTATAAATTTCAAATATGAGGAAGACATTTCTGAAGCGTTATTTTCTAAATGAGGAGAGAAAAGTGTCAATATTTGCTAAATTTTTTAGTTATTTAGAGGACTTTGGTGACCAAGAGTCATTGCGTGATAGGTGTAGAATTTATCCGAAAATGTGATGGATTATACATAGAGTTTCAACACCTTTACTTCAAACAATCGCAATAAAATTGTTTGGCCAAGTTTCATCCTCATCTTGTTTTGAAAGAAATTGGAGCACATACTCCTTCATCCAATCAATGAAGAGAAATAAAATTACTTCATAACGGGCAAAAGATTTAATTTAGGTGCATAAAAACCTTCAACTTCTCTCAAGAAAAACACTAACTTATCTGGAAGGAGACAACATAATGTGGGATATTGCTGAAGATGGATTTGAATCTCTTGAGGATATGGGAATATTAGAAATTGCTAATCTTTCACTTGATGAGCCTGAATTGGAAGCTATGATATTTATTGAAGATGATATAGAAATTCAAAGACAAACCATTGAAGAAGCAAATCCTATCATTCCTTCTATTGAATAGTTCAAACTTCATGTGCTAGACAATTTATGTTTTTTTATTTTTGTTGTTGTACTAGACATTTAAATACTTAATGCTTACTTTTATTTTGATATTATAAGATACAATGCTAAAAATGATGTTGCTTTCAAATTTTTTTGTCAATCAAATATTACACTTTGATTACTTCTTAATTTTTAAATATGATTTATATATTATAATGTTGTATCTGCGCCGTATTTGTATCCTATATTTTTAAGAATTGACGTGTCCCGTATCCGTATCGTGTCATATCTGTGTCGCCGTATACATATCGGTGCATCATAGGTTAAGTGTTTGGCTCAACTCATTTACACCCCTTAGTTTGATTAACTTAATTGCATAGAAAAATACTAAACTTTTTTGTGTTAATTTTTTTCATCCATAAAGTTGATAGAACTAGGAGATTTATGAATGTTTGTAAAGAGATACTTAAAACAGGAAGCAAATATCTAAATTTAATGATGATAAAACTTTTGGACATTATTTATGATATATCAAAAACCTTCAACAACAAGAGCTAGAGGAGCATAACCTGACTCATCTTGGGGCGTCGCCGAGCAGAATGACGAACACACGCAGCAGCACACGCAATCATCCGTGCCATCTCCACGGTGTCATAGTTGCCATTGAGACGATGATCAGCTACATCATCATAGTTTCCATCAGCCAGTGCTTGGAAAAGAACCGGCCTTGCCTGTTAAAAAAAAAAGAAAAATGTTGAGTTCAAAAAAAAAACAAATCTCTGCAATTATGGTTCATCGCTTTGTATCCAACACCATAAAATTAATGACAGTGGAACTACACTAACCCAGTCAACTAAGCTGTCTTCCATGAATGCATGAGAGCTGCCCACAGGCCGTTGTCCAGTAATCAATTCGAGAAGCATCACACCATATGAGAACACATCCGATTTCTCAGTTAGCTTGCCACTAGATGCATACTCTGGAGCTAGATACCTAGAATAATGGATAAAACTGCTAAATTAGCACGAGATTGTTTTGGTCTTATGGCTACTTCAGGTTTGGATGTTCTAGTTTACCCAAATGTTCCCATAACTCTTGTGGAGACATGCGTGTGATTGTCAGATGAAAGTTTCGCCAAGCCAAAATCAGCAACCTGTAGACTTGCACTTTAGTGGGCACAACATAATTTAGGGTTCGTATGTGACGGCTTTTTTTATTGCTTCTTAAATTAGCTTTCTAGTACAAAAATTTTTAATTTATACTAGAAAGCTTCTTTAAGTAGTAAGAAAGCCGCACCATATGAAGCCTTAATGAATGAGAAATATAGAATCTATGCAAGCAAGGCAAACATATCAATGGCAATCAATAATAGACTTGCAAATGTTCTAAATTGATGAAATCAGAAAACCCATGTGAGCATATAGCAAAGCTGCAAAGGTATATAACTGTCAAAGAGCATATTCTTCTTTTACGTCTCCTCAAATTAATCCTTGCAAAAGGTTTTATGATTAAGCTTGGCATTGTTATGGAGTTATTATAGCACACACTTACACAGTCATCATCATCATCATGACCTTATCCCAACTACTTGAATACTTCCACCTTTCGTTCAAGTTGCTAGCTAAATGAGGTTTTCACTATGCTTTGCCATAGTTTTTATCAAAATAGCTAACTATATAATCTTTGGTCTACTTTTTCTTCTTTTTCCTTCTAACTTTTTTCTACCTACGTGCCTTATTTGTGTATCTTCTAATATTCATTGTACATGCCCAAAACCAATCACAAGCCTCATTAGGCAAAAGGCTTGTAATTATGCTTGAAACTCAAAATTCATTTCATATCATTCAATTTTAAATGAGCTTGATGTCAAACTCAATTTTCATTGACATGAGGAAGACTTGCTTTAAATTAATTTAATTCAACTTGAATGACAATATAATTAATATATATCTAATTATGTCGAAACTATATGTTGGATACTACGTATCTGTTCAATGACTAGCATTAATCGAAAGTTCTCTCGCATTATCGGGAGGGATATATAACTATAGGGGCTTGTGTCTATATGATGACTAGCATTAATCGAAAGTTATCTCGCATTATCGGGAGGGATAATTAACTATAGGAGCTTGTGTCTATATGAAACCAAAACTTAGATCATAAAGTCGTCGCAAAATGAGGGCAAAATTTGTGGATAATATCTTATTTAAAGTTCAATCTGCCTTCTGAAAACTTAACATGGAATCTAAACTCGTTAAAATACTCCCCGTCGACAAAAAAGTCGTAGAGAGGCCGAGGCGTGAATTTTCGGAGCCCACACTCGCCTGAAGAAACAAGTTTAAAGAAAGAGAGGAAGAAATTCTAGTAAGAGAAAGTTAATTTCGGGCGACTTTGGTCAACTTTTTGTTCTCAGTCTAGTTTGGGATGTTGTCTGGATCAAGGTAGATTATATTCTGGCTATCTAAGTTTTCAAAAATACAAAAAAATTTGAGATTTTTTTTTATTAAAATTATAAATTCGTAGTCTAAAAACAGGAATAACTTCACACCCGCTAAACTTTTATTATGTAACTTCCTATATATTGTATATACGATCATTCTGAACATTTAGATAATTTTCTTAAAAAAAATATCGGATAAATTATAAATTGTGCTATTTTTAGCAAATTGGAAATGATTATTATCTCAAAAAATAATATTGTAGTATATTTAAGGCCTTAAAATAGCATTCGGAAATATCCCCGATAATCTGCTTAAAATGTGTGATTTCGTGGAGCTATAATGTTGGAGGAAAATCTATGAAGCTAAAAGCATTGGGTGTTATAAATGTCAAAATTTTTGAACATTTGATGGGCTAAGCATTTGAGAGTAATAAGGGTCTATTTTCTAATATGTTAGCACAAGGAGTCATAAAGGCTTGAATTATGATTTCTTCTTTTGATGGGAGGTATAAGGGTCTGACGAAATTTATTATTTTCTGCTCTGTTTTATAAAGTACTTGTTTATTTAGATTCAATGTAAAGTCTATTAAAATTTAATTATCTACAAGCACTTTTCGAATCGGTACAATAGCTGTAAATAATTACTTTTACATGCAATTACATGTAAAATGGCTTAATTATTGAAAATTAAGATCGGTAGGTATGCCTGTTGAGTTGTGTTAGCTCACACATACTTTGCATTCTATTTCAGGCCATTGAAAAGATAATGAGTCAGTTGAGTAGATTTGATTGCATGCTCTAATCTTCTAAGTTTGTGTTAGTATTTCCCTTGTTTTTTTTTATTTTTGTACAGTCATGGTTATTATATGTGGATAAGTTTATTTGTTTTGCATAGGATGTTCTTTAGTTGCTTTATCATTTTTTTTTAAATAGAAGAAATTTGAAAAGTCTCCAAAATTTATATCTTGAGTTTGGTTTAACACATGTTGACCTCTAAGCATATTCCATGATTAATCAAGTGCATCAAGAAAAACAACTATTATATATGTTGCTTATCACGAGCATCAAGGTACCTCGATCGCCATCAAAATGGCTCAAAACTTTATTTGGTCATGATATAGATCACACCGATGCACTTAGGACATTAGATTTGTTTAAAAAAAAGTCATTCATGTATAACTCAATCAAAAATGATGACAACATTGACTGTTCGTAAGCGCGGTGCCGGCGAAAACTACCCAAATGATCTTCGATTGTTAAACGGACTGCGTCAATATGATCAAAGCATCAGATTTACCAAAGGGGAGACCTCTCGCAGTTAATTGGGTGGAGGCGGTCAAAATTGATAGACCACTTGTAAAACCCGAAAACTATGATCATAGGTCGTCGCACGCTTTTCGATGCGTCGCAACGATACTTACGGGAAAAATTAAGGTTAACAAAATTTGACGAAAATAATTTTATAAAATTTTACATAAATTTCTGATCAATTTGATGTATAGAACATATGATTAATTTGGTATATTTTTAGAGATAGAATTTTTAGAAGTCTAAAAATGTGAACTTTACCCCTAAGAGTTTCTTAAGCCGGAATTACTTAAGTGAGGGCAATTAGGTCTTTTTGGCAAACCCTTTCTCCTAATATGAGCAAACTGAGCCTCCCCCTCTCATTTTACACACCGTTCGGCGGAAATCATGAGAGATGGATGGGCTAGGGGCGACGGTCTAGGTAGACGTGTCAATTTTGGGTTACGGGTCTGGCTCGGGTCGAACCCGAAACTGACCCTGCATTATTCGAGTCAGCCCGAACCTGGCCCATTTTTCAAAACGGGTTAGTTTTCCCGACCCGCTTCAGGTCCAGGTCAACCCGACACGACCCGAATGACCCATTTCCAACAAAAAAATTACTAATTTTCAGGTCAAAAAAGGGCCTATCTCCTCCTTTTCGGGTAAAAAATGGGTATATCTCCTCTTTTTCGTGTCAAAAACGGGTTAAAATCGGGTCAAGCTCGGGTTGTCGTGTCAAAATCGGGTTTTCGGGTCAATTTTGGGTCAAAGGATTAACCCGAACCCGACCCGATTTTTGAAACGGGTTGAAATGTTGAACCCAAACCTGACCCGTTTTGGGTTGACCCTAACCCGAAATTTTCGGGTCGGGTTTTCGGGTCGGGTCAAATATTGACACCCCTAGGTCTATGAGCGACGGGCTCTCCGGCGAAGATTTTCCGGCGAGAAAATTTAGGGAAATCGAAGAGGAGGTCGAGGGAAGAAGAAGGTATGTCTTGGAAACTTATTCCCTCTTCTCAATCTCAAGATTTTTAAAGATGAAATTTCTAGGGTTTTTCAAAAATTTTGTTTTCTTCCAAATTTCTTTTTACGAAATCAATAGAAAGGATTTAGGAGAATGTTTTGATGATAGAAATGAAGTTTTTGGAGGAATTTTTGGAAATAGGAAAGTTATGATTTTTACAAAAAATTTAATTTCTATAAAGTACTTTTACAAAAGTTGTTTCTAAGGGCCTTAGGAATGTTTTTAAAACAAAATTTTGAGTTTTTATAATAAATTTCATTTTTCTTAATTTTTATAATTAAATTAATCCGAAAATAATTAACCTAATTATTAATTATGATTTAGGGAAATGTTTAGCTTGATGTTATGATGAAAATTCATGATTTAGGGATTTCTAAAATTTGGATTTATAATAATTTTTAAAATAGAAAATTAATTAATTTAATTATTGAAAATATTTATGATGTGTGCTTAGTTCAGTTGTAATTTTCCTTAGGTGTGGATTAAGGAGACGACGTGTGGTTAAGCAACTATGTTTATTAAAAATTAATAGCAAGTCCACTAGCTAGTCATCAAGCACATGATTATTAAATAAATGTTAGATATTTTGACTTCCAAAATTGACCTCCTTGCCTTACTAAGCAATTCAACTTCTTATTTACCTTCAATATTTCTTCGATCAGACACTAAATATTTATCAAAGAACTAGATTACAATACCCAAACATATACTAAAGTCATGCTAAGATCATGGAATTGTTCTTCAAAAATTTACAAAAGAAGACACATTGAAGGCAAAATCCTAAATTCATGATTCAAGAAGAAAATATAGAGAAATTGTAGATTATGATATGGACATATTGTACAAAATCATATACAGGGTTATAATATTGCTCCTAAAAAAATTGCAAGCAAGAAAAATTGGTCGTAAAAATTTAGAGACATAAGAAAATTTAAAAGATATTGTGAAGAAATGAAAGGAGAAAATACTTACAAACTATTAGGGGTGTCAATATTTGACACGACCCGAAAACCCAACACGAACTCGACCCGAAAATTTCGGGTTAGGGTCAACCTGGACTCGAAACGGGTCGGGTTTACCCAGAAACCCGGAATTGACCTGTTTTTTACTCGAAAACTTGTTTTTGACCCAGAAACCCAAGATTGACCCATTTTATACCTGAAAATTAGAGATTGGCCCATTTTTTGACCAAAAAACTAGCTTTTTTTGGCCGGCTCTTGGTCATTCGGGTCGTGTCGGGTTGACCCAGCTTGAAGCGGGTAGGGTTCGGGTCTGAAAAATCGACCCGTTTGTAAAAATGGGTTTGGTTCGGGTTGACCCGAATAGTACGGGGTCAGTTTCGAGTTTGATCTAAACTCGACCCGTGATCCGAAATTGACACCCCTACTAACTACATTGCTTGACTTCCAAAATGCAGTAGAGGACTGGAAGCATTGGCATGCTCAACTAAGATAATGTGTTGTGAAACGCATGCAAGACTCCATCCACAATCTCTTATACCAGGACCATTACATGTGAAGTGCATTTTAGGAATTCAGATAATTCCTAATGATTCCATCACATAAGTGTTTATTTGAAGCGCAAAATCGACCTCAGACACCCAAATGTAGATTTTTTTTTTTTTTTAAATATGAGAGTCAAAATGAAGTGCGTCTTAAACCTAGAGGACCCAAATGTAATCTAACTTTTTTTCCAGGGTTGTTCTTGGGGTTATTCTTTAAGTTGCATTATACTCTTTAATCATCATCAAGAACTTCCACCTTTTCTACTTGCCAAAAAGAGAACATGAATTATAACTAGCGTACTCATTTAATATGATCAGGTCAACTTACCATGGCCTCAAACTTGAAGTCTAGCAGGATATTGGAAGATTTGATATCGCGATGGATTATTCTTGGATGGCCTTCATGCAGATGATATTAAGTAACTGATATGTAGGAAAAAGTAAGGAAAAAACAATGTTCTAAATTCAGAATACTTGATACATACATTCTTCATGCAAGTAAGCAATTCCCTTAGCTGATCCAATTGCAATCTTGAGTCTGGTAGACCAATCCATAACAGGAAGTCCCTTCCCTAAAACAGAAACAACTTGAACCTCAACCTTAACGGTAACATTCATTATTTCTATAATGTCCATCAAAAGAAGCTTTACCATGGAGGTGGTACTCAAGAGTCCTGTTGGGAATAAAGTCATAGACAAGCATTCTTTGTGATCCAGCTATGCAGTATCCAACAAGGGACAGCAAATGACGATGATGAACTCGACTAATGATATCAACCTCAGCATGAAACTCTCGTTCACCTTGCCCGCTCCCTAACTTGAGAGACTTAACAGCAATTTCCTTCCCATTTGGAAGCAACCCTTTGTGCACATAGCCAAATCCACCCTGCCCCAAGAGGTTGGATTGAGAGAAATTGTTGGTGGCAGCTTCAAGCTCTTCATAAGTGAAGTTGCTTTCGTTGAAACCCAAGGGCAAAGTGGGGGATGGAGGTGATAGAGGAGGGGCTTGTTGGCTAGAAAAGAGGGAGCTGATCTCGTTGCTGTTAGTCAACATGTTTGGTGGCTGCAGGTGCCATCCACCTCCAGGTGGTTGGACCTTCACAACAGGATCCCTTGCTTGGTGCGCATTGTGCCATTTCTGGGTTACTCCATTAGTGTAATACATACTGTCTGATATTAGAAGCAGGTGAGCCATCAAAGTGGTAGTTCAGAGGCAATGGAGGCAGTATTAAAAGTAGTAAAAAGTGAAAATCAACTGTAAATTCACTATTTTGTTCTTGATTTGTACTTTTCAAATATTAATTTGGATAATTATACATCTTATAACTTTCTTCCTTTTTTTTGCTTCTGCATTTTTATCAAGATCTCTATCTAAACTTCCCCACATTCAATAAAAAAAAAAACTAAAATGTTAAAAAGCAAGAAAGGTCAGGCTAAGATTTTTCAGAAGAAAAAGTAATGGTTTCCTTTAATGGTTTGATGGAAAGTGGGAAATATTTCGACTTATTTTTTGCATCACATGATTTTAGAAGAGCCTATTGTTTATTTTCAACGCGCAACTGGCTAACCTCTGTTATTCACGCATCTAAATATACATTTCCCCACATCCCTGATATTTAGTTTTTTTGAACGATTCAATTATGAACTTTCAGCAAAGCAAGCACAGCGTATGAATTTTCAGGATTCTATTTTTATTCTGGATCCACTTTCTTAAAAACTTTAATGAGAAAAAAGTTAATCTGAGCATCCTGCATAAAGTTAAAATTAAAAATTTTCACTTGTGTGATTTTGTGATTGAAAAGTTCACAATCTTTCATGATGCATAAGAGTAGAATTGTTAATCAACCAACAAACCTTTCGATGCTGAAGGATTCACATAGTGCTGCATTGAGTTGTGTTGTTTCCTCTTTCTCTTCCAGCAACATATGCAAACAATGGTCATCATAACAAGAAAGAATGCTACACCAATTGCAACTCCAGCAATGAGTAGCACATTAACATGGCTATTGTACTTGCCCTCTGGTGAATTTTTCTTAGAATTTAAGGAAAGAGTAGAAGGTGTAGTGATTGCATTCCTTGTTGTTAATGGAGATAGAGGGCCAGCTTGGGCTGGCATTGGAAGCATGGTGGAGAATCTATTACCAGCTGAAGGTATTGGAGAAGATTTGAAAGATGTAAGGTGAGGGTTAAATGACGGCAAGGTGGAGACTTTGTGGAAGGAGAAGATTCTGCAACTATCACGGACTGAAATGGTGATAAGGCTAAAGCTGTGAAAGACCTTGACGAAGTGTTTGGTGGTAATGAGCTAAAGGATGAGGACATTTGCACTTGAACAGTCACGGAGCTCAAGTAAGAAGTTCTTCTTCAGAAATGGATTCATTGATCTTTACAACCTGCTCCCGGAGGCAATAGAGCCAATGAACTCTCTACAAAAGAAAGGCATGAAATCAGGCACAACCTCAGCATTTTAAAAGCCAACATAGTGCGATAAGAAATCTCTAAAGAAAAAAAATGTATTAAGAGAAGTACAACACTTAGATTCTGTTCGGGATAACTTCCTTGCTACTTTATTTTTTAGACCTCAATCATAATTTTTATTTTTTCACTATTTTTTTGTTACTTTCAAAAAATATTATTCTAGAAAACGAATTTCTACAATAGTTTTATATAAGTTATTTTATACATCATCTTTATAAAGCAAAGGATACCGCAATTACAGTTTCTATTTAGCTGCGACTTTCTATTTAGCAGTGAAAAGGTTGTCTGAAACTGTTTTCTACAATAGCTTTTAAAAAATAATTTCTCCACAATAACTTTACAATCATCTTTATAAAAAGCTGCAGACATCCCAGAACGAACCTTATTCTATATGCAATAACCAAAATATAATTTTAGCAATTCCAAAAGCTTCAATGCAACCTAATCCCTTTACAGAACGCAATCAATCAGCCAATACAAAACATTATCACCCACACAGCTATCATGCATAAAACAACCAAAACCTTCTAAAGAAGAAAACTATCAAACAAAGCGTATTTTTTGCATTTAAAACGATAGCAATTATTAGCTAAACCCAATCTTTCGCAACTCAAAAGCTACGGAAAGGAAATCAAAGCCATTTGCAGCCTGTAAAGAGAAAATTCAACATTATAAAAGAATATGAAGTTCATCACGTAGCGAACTGGTTTAATCAAATAACCTGAAACCAAACCAGACAAAAGAGAATCGCCCCGGACAACGTGAAAGACCCGACTCCCTCCTTCCTGCAATTTACAACCCGTGCCTTCCTACGTCTGCCGTAATCAGCTTCGAGATCTCACCCTCGCCAACTTCATGCGCTCCGAAGATGAAAATTATATATCAGACTTCCTTTATAATTTTATTTATAGCGATAATATATTTTTACAAAGATGCCCTTAATCGGAGGGATTTTTGCATATTTTGGAAAATTCAGTAATTTTCAGAAGTTTTGTCTAACAAGCCAAATTAAAAAAGTTTTAGACTTTACAAATGCTCTATAATTAATATGATTAATTTTGGGTTTATAATAAAATATAATCTATATGAATAAGATTTATTACATTCATCTTAATGTGCATGGGAATAGTGCTTGCTGACATTTGAAATCATCAAAGAACTTATATAGCAATTACATATAACAAAGCTATCTACATCCAATGAAAATTTATTATGAATACTAAAAATATCTATGCCAAGGTGTAAAGTACAGTTAAATGTGAAGGTAGGGCTACAATCTTGATACGTCATTGTAGGTTGTCATGATATGGCATGAATCTTGAGGCACATACAATGGGAAACTTTCAAAATTAAATTTGAGGCCATCTGAACTTATATTTCAGCAAACTTATAGTCAAACTGAACGTCTTGAACAAACGAACTCAATGACATCAAAATCGATTAATTTGAGCTCAAATGGGCCCAAATCAAGGGCCCGAAGCATATTTGGATGGTTTAAAGCATAAATTGGATGACCAAATGATACATAAATATAACATGCTTATGGTCGAATCAAGTGGCTCGACGAGACGAATCCAACAGGCCTGAGATTGTTAAATTATGATATCATTTGAGCACATAAATGCTTGACAAATGCTCTATAATCAAGGGGATCAATATGTGTTATCCGATGGAGCACTCTGAATTTGCCCAGAACTTATCCATATTTACAAGGTATGACACTCTAAAAAATCTATAAATATGTCCCCACATCTCACATGAAAGGGGGTTGAGAGCTTGAACCTTTGATTGGAGATTGGAGAGAGTTCCAAAACTTCAAAGATCTAGAGCTCCACCAAGACACTATCGCCGACGAACCTCCGTCGACCGAAGTCCGACACCGCCTAGCCGCTAACCATAGCTGGACCACTGCATGCCCTACTATCGCCCGTTGATTACGATCCCTCCGACTACCGTTGCTAGCCGATTACAAACCCTACGACCTCCATCGCTCATCGACTTTGGTCCTTCTTACCTTTGTTGCCCACCGACTATAGTCCCTCCAATCTCAATCGCCCAAATATAGTCATGCCAACCAAATGAATATGCCAACGTTCTCTTTGGAATAGCTCCCATATCATTGAATTCTTCCAACTCGAAATATGTAAAGTGCTTTATATGATATATTAAGCTAATGCCTTCCCCCGAGGAAAGGCACCATTTGTGATCAACTACAAATAATGGTGGAATCATTTTAATTGGGTAAGGCTTCATGGGTTTTTCTCTTTTTACGGTTTTCCATATAAAAATCTTAGTATCTCTTATGACTATCACAATCATCTTTCTTTATATGTATGTGTGTCGGATCTTCTCAAAAAAATTAGATGTTTAACTATTTATCTCTCTACCACCACGAATATTCTAGTTTGCAACAAATGTATTAATTTTTTTTTTTCAAAAATCTATAAAAATCATTAGAGATAGAACCCCTAATAAAGAAGGATGCACTTATCTTAAAATATTGTCCATTAATAGGCACTATAGGAAGTTCTCAATTACGTTCAATTAGTTGATAAGACTTGGCTTGATATTGGACATCATCATAAAGGTATCCAATTTTTTTTTTTTTTAGAATTTAAAAAGCGACTAACATATGGAATACAGTGAAAATAGAAACAAGGGTTTTAGGATTAAAAAAAAAAAAAAGTTTTAGGATTTTAAATTTTTTGCCAACATAAAATAGTGGGATCAAGGGGTAAACTATGGGGAAATTGATCTATGAAGAGTTTAGATCACTTCATGAAAATTGCACAAGATTTGGACAAGTTTTGAGCCACCAAAAGATCAAGAGAATCCAACCAAAGCAGACATTCTCTCAACCATGGCCGACCACTTCAAGCGGGCGTGGAGTGGGGAAAAGTTATAGTCAAAATTATGAAAATTCACCAAATCAACACAAAACAACACTTAAACATTCTACATAAAATGCATAGTAGTTTTATTAGTAATACTCTCCAAAGATAAGACAGAAGGCTCACCCAAGCCACCAAGCTTCCTCCCTTGCATCAAACCACCAAGCCTTCTCCTTCAATTCTAGAATTTCTTCATGCAAGAACAATCATTTTTTATTAACTAATGAAGTCTTAAATACACACATGAAAGAAATTCAATCAAAAGAGTTTCGAGGGAAGAGGAGCTAGCCACACCTATTGGAGTAACCATCATAACTACACTCTCCGTTCACTTGCCTTCCACTTCATGTCAAATAAGTCAATATGTGACACTCCAAACTCACTAGGTTGGCCAATGTACTCAATTACACTCACAAATGAACACTTTGGTGCACTCACAAACTCACTAGTAGAATTTCACCTCTACAACCAACAAAAACAAAAGCTAATAGCAAGTAAGAAGAGAATCATCACACTATCATAAAAAAATATTACTATTACCCTCATTAAATAAAGAGATGGACAAATTAGCCACCAAGATAAATTTGAGAAAAGAATAATATCAAGTTTTTTACTTAATAAGTGATGATTTGCATCATAAAATTTCATAGTTATTATAATATTTACAATTGACACCCCTTAAGTGAGTTTTAGCCAAAAAAAAAAAAAACCATGGTTATTTCATATCCCCTTTTTCTTTCCGTGCTATTCTGCTTACTATACCAACAGATGTAACATTATAAATTGTATTATTACTCTTACTACCACCAGGATAAATTTGACCCATTCCTCTATTCCCACCTACATATATGAGATATTTTAAGAAGTGAACGTCTTTTTTCATAGTAGAGTCTGGCTAAAAAATAGGAAATACGATTTCACTATATTTTTGACTAGGTACAAGACCTATCACAAGAATATTTTTTATTAGGTCGATAACACTAAAAAGAAAGATTGCTCATCTTTTATTTCATTTCGGGAGAAAGACAATCATGGGAAGGACTAATTGGAATCCTCAAGTAAAATAAGAACAGCTCTTACATTCAAAGCTCCATTTTTATCATTAGCAAGGACTTATTTAAGTTGCATATCATAAAAAATTATAACTATCAAATTTGTTAGATATCTCTGTTAATCCGATCTTCATGATGCAACAGAAGCTACAAACAAACGCACGATTAATCATCCACGGATCAATGAAAAAGAATGATGAAACACTCAAAATCTACAAATTCAAAGACAAACTTGAGAATTGCTCTTCACTTTATACAACAGTTTTTATCTCCGGTCATCAAAACAATGGATTAATAGAAACAAATAATGAGTAATTGCAGACTAACTACGTTTATTTTATCGGTTTTACATAATAATTGCAACCAGCAATTAACTTTCCAGATGAAGAACCTAAGCAGAGCATGCTAAGTTCCCACATTTTGTAGTTTTCAAAGAGGACCTCCAATTCCATCTGCAAGAGATCAAGTGTGGAAGCAAAGATTCAATGGCGTAGCTCCCCAGTCATAACTCATAAGCACATGAGAGGCTCCAGGAAATAAGACCAGAAGAGCTTGTATCAGGCTTTCGCCCTCACCAACTGATGAGTTTTATGTCATTTCAATTTATTCCGAAGCTCTACTGGAAGTATCTCCTCTCAAATTCTTCTTTGTTGTCTTTGTATCCTCCACCATTCGGGCGAGGTCTTGAACAACCTCAGACATCTGTGGCCTGAACTCCGGGCCTTGCTGAAGAATAGGAAAGGGAGAGGGAGTTAGCTCCTGGTACTTACTTGAAGATCAGATAAAATATCCAGCAGGTGTCATTTGATGACATTGTGAGGAGCTGTTTAATCTGAAATAATGCTATTCTCCTACAGATTTTATAAGCAAGTGTGTTGTGTTAGGGCTGCTGCATTTGGGACGGCTTTTTTATTATATAAAAATTAAAATTTTTAACTAGAAAACTGCTTTAAGAAGAAGTAACAAAGTTGTCCCAAATGAAACCTAGAAGTCGGTCAATGAGTTGTTGTGACTTGTGAGTCTTAATAGTTCATAAGGGCAACTCCAATGGAACGGCAAACACTTCTTGCTTTGCTCCAACCGACCGCCATTTTTGACGTCATTTGATCGCGGATGAACAGTGCGACGCCAATATTGGCGTTGCACTGTTCATCTGCGCCATTTTGTTGGTCTCTACCGAACTTGCAGAAGAAAGGCGCGAACAACGGTTACGGGGCAAAATGTCGCTCGATTGGAGATAAATCACGGCATTTTTTGGTTCTACTGCATTTTGGAGTGAAAAATGAGATTTTTCGGTTGGAGATGCCCTAAATAGTTAGGCTTATTAGGTTGACATCAAGTCATTAGAAGATTGTGTATTCTGCAAATATTAGGATAAACTTAAGCCCTGGCTATTCTCCTCTCCCCCCCCCCCCCCCCCCCCCCCCCCCCCCCCCCCCAATATCTAGAGTTGCAGACATCCTCTAATTGCCTATCTCTACAGCCTCCATTAATTTCAAAATTTTTAGGCAAAATGGAAATTTGCTCGGTTATAATGTATTCTCTATTATTTCTTTGTTTTCTTGCAGCTTTGCTGGTTTGGTTGTAACAAATAAAGTCATGGCTATTCTCCTACATATGTTATGCAAATATGTTGTCTATGATATTGAAGCAATGGAAGAGATGAAAGAGCGGTAAAATGCTTTTTTGTAAATTCTTCCTTTACAAATCAATTATATTTTTGATCAGTAAACCAGCTAAAAAGTGTCACTAAGGTTTTTTTGGGACGACTTTTTTACTGCTTCTTAAAGCAATTTTTTAGTACAAAAATTTGTACTAGAAAGCTGCTTTAAGAAACAGTGAAAAAATTGTCCCAAACAAAACATAAATGAGTTCAGATGAGCAAACTAAAGTACATTTCGGCATAACTACCTGAAACAAGGATGACAGAAGTAAAATTAAAAAACATTTTTTTTAATGATGCATTCAAATCTGACCTGAATGCAGCGGCTAATAATGTCTGCAAAACGAGAGAGCGATTTCACAGAACACTTCCCAGAAATAGAAGGATCTACCATTCTCGATAAAGTATCAATATCATGTAACTGAGAGCTAGCCCACCTAACTAAATGCTGCTCCGCTCTAGGCCGTGAGCTGCAGCAGAAAGTGACAAAGATGGTCAACAAAATGATTTCTTGCAAGCTCAGCAAAGTTGCTAATATTGCAAATTAACTACCTATCATAGGGTTCACGGCCTGTAAGTAGTTCTAACATGACAACTCCAAAGCTGTAAACGTCACTTCGATCGCTACATGCTCCAGATTCATGAACTTCTGGGGCTTCATAGTTGAGCAATGCACGCATTCGACCTGACAACTGATCAAAAAGTGATTATTAGCATTGATTGTCATTTATCTCTAACTCAGGCTGAAACATGCACTAAGGCTTCGTTTAGGACGGCTTTCTTACTACTTCATAAAGCAGCTTTCTAGTACAAAAGTTAAAAAATTTATACTAAAAAGATGCTTTAAGAAGCAGAAAGAAAGTCTTCCCAAACGAAGCCTAAGAGTATGTAAATGCGTCTGTATATATATATCAATTGCGCATCTTTCTACAACTTAATGATGAGCCATTAGCTAGTCTAATGGATGAATAGCATTTATAGAATCATTCATAAGAAAAAAAATCTAGAAGTACATAATTATTACTTCACCAAAGGCTTTGAAGATTCATTGTATTATCTTAAATTTTGATTATTTCTTTTGATATTTCATAGTACCTATTTTATCAATCTCTTTGACAGCATGAATAATAAGCATGCCTAATAACATGCTTTAAACCAGCAAAGCTTACCTACGAAATTTCTGCAAAATCTTACCTGATTTACAGAATCAGAAGACATAAGAGAAGCCAACCCACAATCTGCCACACGCACTGCAAGTTCATCATTTACAAGAACATTGCCAAGTTCAAAATCCCGATGAACAATAGGTGGCTGAAACTCGTGAAGATATCTACAGGAAAAATGGAGATTTGGTTGTTAGTCCATGGCAATGTAGTGCCTGCCACCTAATAAGATAATACCAGAATCGCTAGTTTCACTTACTCGAGAGCTCTTGCTGCCTCAAGGGCTATTTTGAGACGTGCATTCCATGATATCTGTTCCTTTAGTTCATCATGGCAATGTAGTATATCATGCAAGGTTCTTCTACTGAAATAGTTATAGACTAGCAATCGCAGTCCATGTTCAGCACAGTAACCCACAAGTTCAAGAATGTTTGGATGGCGAAGCTCAGATATGCTCAGGACTAGTTCAAGAAAATCATCCTCGGGAATTTTGGAGTTTACATTGTCCAGTTTCATAACTGCCAGCGGCTAGAACAAAAAAGAAATTAAAGGTTAATCATAATGAAGAGGTTCAATGGAGCAAAGAACATGTTTCAAGATGCTAAGGAAAATGGGTGCATTGCCCTCAGTACGTTAGCACTTTCAGAACTAGAAGCTAAATGAGAATGATTTTACTGTGGGACAGATATGAAAGGTAGAGGTAGACCAAAAAAAATTTGGTTATAAAATTTTAGAAATGAACTTTCTTTATTAGATTTAAATGAGAATTTGACTTTTAACAGGACACAATGGCGAAAAAGGATTCATGTAGCCGACCCCACGTAGTGGGACAAAGGCTTGATGTTGTTGTTGTTGTACATATATGAAAGTAGAAATGCACCAAAACGTTTATGTTGGCCTACAGACTATATGAATTTTAAAATATTAAAAACGATCAACTCTCAAGTTTTATGTTGACTAGTTATTCTATCAGTTTGCCAGATCCATCATAGTAGATATACCAAAAAGCATGCAATAGCCTCAAGTGTAGTTCATCATTAGATGAGTTTCGGATTCATTCAAAGAGTACGCTATGGAAATATGAGTTTTATACCTTTCCATCTGGTCGTTCTCCAAAGTACACCTTTCCCAATCTACCATCTTTTATCAGATTTTCCTCTCTAAAGCTATTTGTGTATTGTTGTAGGGATGCGACCGAATAAGATGTAACTGGGGATGGAGTATCTGCAGTGACAGGAGGTTGGGTGGCTGCACTTTTTTCAGGTGGAACAATGGGATTTACAATGACTTTTTCAGCACGAGGTGGTGGCGGTGGTGGAGGGGGAGGAGGCGGTGGTGGCATTTGAAGTATTCCTGAATCGAATCTATCAGTATCTAACTTCTTCTGCTTCTCTGAATCCTCCTTTTGAGCTACCATAAACAACACAAAATGCTACTTTCTAGTCAAGAAAGCCAATTAACTTAAAAGGTTTATTAATAGAAAAAAACTAACCTGTACCAGTCATACCAATTTTAGGTTCTTGATTTGGTTCCACAGAAGCCTGTCTTGAAGCTGTTAAAATAAGAGCTGAAGTTATTAAGCCAACGACAAAATAGAAAAACAAAATTAGATTTTTTTGCTCATAACGAGAATTTGAGTGAAGAGTACATTTCTTTATGCGCTCATTTTGCCGTGAGGATTGCTCGTTGCTTTTTAGTTCCTCACGCCTTTGAGGTGCTCTCCAGTGCTGCCTAACAGGAATTTCGTCGCGTTCTGATCTTCTTTCTTGCAGCTTAGATAGGCAAAATATAACAGCTAGCACAATGATAATAAATGAAACCACTCCTGCAAGTACATATCCAACAATTTTAACGGTTGAGGTTCTTTTACTCTGTCCAGGTTCACTACTTTTGGGTGCAGAAGATCCCTCAGAAGAATTCCTCGGCACACTCCGAGGGGCAGGAGCCCCAGAGAAGGGAAATGGTGATGGTGGAATCACCGGAGCTGACGAAGGAGCAACTGTGGTATTGAATGGGTTACCATCCTTTCTGCATAAAATTCAGTAGTATAAGCAATAAAATCAAGCTTGGATACACAAATAGGGTTACAAGAAAATGATTATGTACAGGCCACCAATTCATATTACAGCCATGGCTTAAAAAGGAACTTTTAAGGGACTACTGAACATCTGAGCAGAAACTCTGATGCTGAATTAACAAGAATATATAATTGACATGAGAAACTTACTTGAAATTTGGAATACTGAGCATTTTTTCTGGAATGGGTCCAGAGAAAAGATTATTTTCAACATTCCTATCAAAAGCCAAGTAGCACAGTTCATTTAGTGAGCAACAAGTAGGAAAAAGCTCAAGTATTTCAGAATCAGTTGTCACTTTCAGTAAATTAAACGTAGTAATGGATTTGAGGTTTCTTGAACCCGATCCACCAGTTAATAAGAAAAGATAAAATAAAAAGAATTTCGATGCATAAACTTAGTGCCCATAACAGTGGAGGGGTATTTAAGAATCAAGATGAGCCCAGGATAAAAGAATAACTGAATATGCTTGTTAGATGTGAAAAAAAAAATGAAATTTTTTACAGTTTTAGGCACAAGCCCAAAGGAGGGTGAATTTTTCTGTTGTTAAAATTTTATTTGAGAAATTCTTAACACAAGCACACAACCAAATTTCATAATGGTTCGGCCCAAACCTACATTCACTCCAAGCTTCCTCTTTGCTTAGGCTCCACTAGATCCCTCCTTCACAGCACCATTGGAGAAGTCCTGTAGAAGCACTCCTTTCACGTGAGGAGATTCCAACCATTATCCTAAGAAGACTTCCCTAATTTCCAACAAGCAAGGCAAACTAGTGGATACAACGCTTTGGCCAAATTACTAGCATTATGGAGTATGAATGAACAATAATTATTACAAGGCCAAGAGAGAGTGATGAAGATGGCTCAAGAATGAATGAGAAGTGTGAACTATCTTTCAGGTGTGTGTTAAAAAGTAATGCAAGCAATGCAATATATAAAGACCCAAAATGCAAATTAAAAATATGTACAAATACCAATGAATTAGCGTCCTGAAAGATGCCAAAATATCTGCAATCCTTCAGAAAAATTTGGCAATTATGTCAAAATAAATAAAAAATATTATATCAAAATAGTCCCTTATCTAATACCCTGATTGAAGCAGGGATCCTGATGCTTATATTAAAAATAGCCCATGTGTTATCAGGGACATGACATCTGTCCTAGGAAGTTTTCCCTAATACCCTGATTGAAGCAGGGCTTACGGATTCTATTAGAGGTTGCCGATCAAACTTAGCTTAGTGGGAATTTAGCAGCAAACACTTAGTTTTATACTTTTCACTGTTTTGACACCAGCGCTAGTGTTTTTCTTATAGCAGTAGCGTCTTTACGTTAGTATTTGGCTTCTAGTACCACACACTTTAGTTTTGCTTTAGCAGTAGAGTTTGACTCACAATACTAGCTCTTCTTGCTTGTTGTATTTCAGTACTGGTTTTGCTTGCAGTACTAGTTTTGTTTTAGCATCAGTCTTTCCTTTTTTTCAGTACTAGTTTTGTTTTAGTACTAGTTTTCCCTTTTCAATACTAGTTTTGCTTCAGTAACCTGCATTAACTTTTATTCTCCTCGGCTATATGTTTATGATTCAGAGTTTCCTATAGGTCATGATCCCACAAATTGGGTGATCACCCTCAGATTGCATCATAGTGACAAAAGTTCTCAGGACCAGAATGTCAAGGGGTTGAGCTATGATGATTAGGACGTACTGCAACCTGTAGCAGACCTTGCAGAGCGCACTAGTACCATCAAACTGTTGAGCTACATCCTATCACAACATGAGGTTGAAGAGCAACAATGCGACTCTGCATTTGGTAGCCTCTCCGAGAGTTAAGCACTTATATTTGTTTTGCCCGATATATTCTCATAATATATCGGGAGGAACTCAAGCAGGCAGAAATTTATAGAGCCATTTATATCTCAATATTCGATTACCGTCGGCTATCATATTCTTGGCTCCAGAGGCTAGCTGAGCATTGGGATAGTGTTACCTATGTTTTTTTTATTGGGCCAAATGAGATGACAATCACACTTTGGGATATACAGCTTGTTTTTGGCTTGCCTATTTTAGGCATCCTATATGAGGAGTGCATCCCTTCAGATTATGATCTATTCAGCCGTAAACTAACTGGTTAGTAGAGGAGGGAGGAGTTTGTATATTCTGACGGCCTCTACCAAAGTTTAGCTCACTACTGTCGTCTATGGAGACAGAAGAGCAGCCACCATCGAGTTACTATTTCTCTGGATGACTAGATGGAGAACCTATTGGTTCGGAAGGCATAATTGTACAGTCTACTCCGCCTCAGGATCCTTCTGACACAAGATTTCAATCCAATGACAAGTTTTCAACTGAGCTATTTGAGCATGGTTAGTGACCGAAGCACATTATGTTTCTTCCAGTAGGATTTCAGAGGAGACGTCCTTGGTGACTTTCATAGCCACATGGTTGTGTTGTTTTATCTTCCCAGGTAAGGATAGGACTTTTTGCCCCAGCACTCTCTTGATGGCCAGTCTGATTGCCAGTGGGAGGCAATTTTATTGACTCCAACTATACTCGCTTAGATATTCCACAGTTTCGAAAAAATTAATAATTCTTATGGTTGTCGTCAGCGCAGCATTAAGGTACTCTGGCACCACATTCACAGGTGGGTACATATTCACGTTGCAGGTGCTTTTAGCTATGCCGAGTTGCCCGATCATTATGTAGATCACTTCTTAGTTCTTCCCTTCCCTAATTCAATTAGCCAGAGGGACCTCGTCCACACATCAAGCTCAAATCAGGTTATTCATGTTCACTCCCTTACATGTAGTTGACCATTTCAGATTGATTTATAGATCTCCAATTGGAGATTTATAGATCTCCAGTTGGAGATTTATCGCCTCAAAGTTTTGGTATTCCACTTTTTAATTCTTTGACTGAGAGGGGCAAACCCACTTTGCATTGTAGAGCTGGTTATGCACCTATTGCCTTTTACTTTGTTAGCATGAGGCGTGGCTGGCTCTATTATTGGCAAGACAATTTTGTGATATTGGAGGGATATAATCCCAAAAGGGCAGCACGACAGTTTGACTTTTTCCAGGCCACCCCCTTAGATGGGATTTTAGTACTTCTTCGGGTGACAGGTCGTCATCAGTTGAGCTCTCTTTCGTCCTCCACTCGCCTCGAGGTAGCTTCTTTAACCTGGGCTTTTCTTCTCCGTCTCGGGACAGGTTCTAATTTTTTAATTACGCATATGGATGCTTCCACTGGCATTGCGCACCTACGACTGTTCTGGATTCGACATACCTTTTCCTCCTTCAAGTTAGGTATTCGGAGGTATAGCAGGAGGATTCAAGGATCTAGACGATCGAGACGCTCTTCAGGGCCAAGAGACTATGCCCCAGTACATGCAGAGTCATCTAGAGTTCGTAGTAGGAGAAGGAAGAGAAGTCCTAAGCTTGTTTCTAGATATTTTGGCCCTGGTATACAACATATGTATATTTATGTTATTATTTCATTTTTTTCATGTATGTATAATAATATGTTGATACTGCAGCACCCTTGCATAGATGTAGACCAATTTCTCCTTCCCTCGACAAGGGCCATCCTAGGAGTAGGACATCGTTCGACATGCTAGGTTATAACATTTCTCTTCTTTGAGTAACATATATTAAATTTTATATTTGTGATACATTTTCTCTCTTTTTAATTCAGCATACAGACCTACACCTGCTAATCTACCAGGTTCACCCATTTTGGAGCCAATTGGTCCAGATACTCCACATATTCCTTTGAGTTTGTATGAGTTTCCTCCTAATGATGAAGGTACTAATGCATATTATTTACTTTCCAAAACTTGATTGAACAATGCATCATTTTGCTTTCTTTTGCTCAGGTAGTAAACTTCCCCCTGAGCTGCAGCCTAGGGAATTCACACCTGTTTCGCCAGGTTGTGATGCCACTCTGAGCCCAGCACTAGGTACTAACCTGTGATTTATAGCTCCTCTTTTTCTTATTATAATGTATTTTCATTTGAATGCAGAGCCTAAGTCTGCACCGGGTAGCTACGCATACGTCATCATTGAGTGGTATGGATGTAAAGGGTCACTTGAATACTAAGTATATACCAATTACCACTGCTTATCCTGGGGATGTTGGAGATAAATACTTCTTATATACCTATTCATTTATTAGCATTTATTGTCATTTCTCCTTTTTCTACCCTTTAGTGTATGTAAATGCAGGTGACCGATCATCACCTCCTCAGCTCACTCGTAAGGCTGCAGATGACACGACTATAGGGCTGATTGATTCATCTCTTGTCCTTTCAGATTCGAATTGGGTTATTATAGGTGGTCTCATGGCTTAAAATTGCGCAGCAAGTGGCGCGCCTCAGCACAATTCAGTGCATTAACGTGTAAAGGCGGACTCGTTGAACGTGATACACGAGGCGTACGCCTCAAATAAGCAGAGGTGCGCCTCGCCTCACTTCAACAAGTTACACAACAGATCAGAATTAGGGCGAGTAAAGAAACCGTAAGTTAAAGCAGAGAGGTCGATGATGTGTTATATGCATCGTTGGCTTTCGTTGTTTTCTAAGGAAAGTGAAAGAGAGAAAAAAGTTAGAAAGTATAATGGTAAATAAGATTTTTTTTTAATACAAATGAAAAGAGAGGAATTCAAGAGTACAAATATTTTTAGCTAATGTGAGTAACAAAACACACGAAATCTTCACTTGAAAGATCAAAGACAACTGACATAAATAAATATGATACAATTGAAGAAAATGTTCTATTTAAAGGCACAACAATAAGAAAATGAAAGTAAAATGACGGGAAATTCACTCTCATGCAAATTTGACATCAGGTACACAATTGAATTGCAAAATGGTAAAAAATAGTAGGAAGGAAACAATATAGAAAGAACAAAACAACAAATCCTAGTATTTTTTATGTGGAATCCTCAAGACAAACTTTAAGAAGTCGAAGCACTAAAGAAACTTATCATATTTCACATAATTCAAAAGTAATTCCAAAAATTCATACATTAGATCTTATTAATAAAAAACATAAAGTTTAATTTATGATAAAAGAGTTGTTAGTGTTGAATTATAAAAGGAACCGGTTGACAAATCCTCAAGTGAAGAATATTAGGGAGCTAAGGATGAAGAAACATGTTATGAAATACTTGAGAAATCCAAGTAATCCCTAACAAGAAAGATGAAAATAGCAAACAAACAAGATTAATT